GGAAGGTCGACGCAGAAGGGAATTCAACATTATATAAAGCTGATAAACTACGACGCTTACTGCACGAAAAATCGGCAGAATTTGGGCCTATTCCGTATCCATCACAGAACGACCTAAGATTCCCCAAACCCAACAGTACGATTCTCTGAATTGAGTCCTTCATTAGCATGAGACGAAGCAGCAGTAGTAACCATCACCACTACTACGATTGAATATGATTCCTTCTACCCCCCACAATTCCCGTCCTGCCATGCTCCCTCAACAGACGCTCTCTAGTCGCTTGCTGTTTCGAGTGGAAACTCCGACTCTCCCTAACATTAAAATTCCAGACGATAAACCCTCAAGCCATCCATCGCAACTCGATAAAGAGAATCCCAACTATACCATGTCAAGACCAGAGCAGCAAAATTTTTCAACCAATTTTCTCAGGGATTAATGAGTGAAAAACCAAATCAGTGCTGAAAAATACTTTCGCTTTCCTCAGCCGAGCTCGAGAGTTTCCTCACTAAATACACACGTTAACATACGAATTCGTGTATAGATGTACCGGAGTCAATGAGAATTTCCCAAAATTTCCTCGAAATTCTCATATCGTCATCAGCATATGTGGTTGACCATATGCACATTTTCCCACACTGACTGAAACCAATTCAATTAACCCCAGATCGGCCCTCCCCTACATCACTACCACTACTTTCTCTGCATTTCCCCCAACTTGGTAACTTCCTCCATAATATTATGCAAGGCATTGTACAATCGGTGCCCCCGAGGCTCGTCACCATCACACAGTTGAACGAAGCGCTTGGCCGGCCATCGGACCACCATAGAGCCCTTCGTGCCCGACGCCAGCTGTACGGTCTTGAAGGCTCCATTGGAAACCGTATTCATCCATTTCCGTAACTAAACACAAACCGGAAGAATCGAACCCGATACCTACCTCATGATAACCAAACAGCCTAACCTCTACCCTATATTCCCCACATTCTCTCACGCACTCAAACAACCCAATTCGCGATAGGAATTCAACTCAAGGAAACCCCCCACATTGAAAGTACCCCAGGCCGGGATCGAACCCACCTCCTCCTCATCCCAA